ATAAAGCAAAAGACCCTTGAGGAGATGGAAAGAGAATCTATCACATTCCCCAAAAGGAGAAAAAGTAGATGCAGGCAGGAACAACTGCTGCCTACCTTGAACCTAGACTGCTTCTATTTTCCCTAACACTGCCTTAACAACACTGTCTGTGATCTGCTGCTTCACAAGGCTACACTGCTAAAAAGCAAATAAACTCCAAGCCACAGCCTAAAAGTGCAAGTATGCAGGAGGACACATTGACGCACTAACAAAAAATAGAAAAATCTTCCTCTAATCCTGTGTGCTTAGGTTCTATCTCTGCTCCTAAAATTTGTGCTTGTGGCCCTTGTAGAGTGATTGTAGCCCTTTTTCACATCAGTTATGATATATCTTAAACCTTTGTGGGATATTTTTTTCTGTTTTAAGGCACGATCAAGGCTGGAATTAAGAGAGAAATCTACCAAGGAAGATGCTGAGGATGTGATAGAGATAATGAAATACAGGTAATAGAAAACACTGCTTTAAAAATAAATAAAGCATCACAGTGCTATTCATTTGAAACTTCTTTTCTTTACATATTCAAACACAATGAAGAAATCACTTTATCAGGCTTAGAACCATGATCCTTCCTGAAGGGAGGTTGTAGACAGATGGGGGTCGGTCTCTTCCACCGGGCAGCACCTGACAGAACAAGAGGACACAATCTCAAGCTACATCAGGGAAGATATAGGCTGGATATTAGGAAACAGTTTTTCATCAAAAGAATAATAAAGTACTGGAGTGCTCTTTCCAGGGAGGTGGTAGAATCACCATCTCTGGATGTGTTTAAAAAAGGACTGGACATGGCACTTGGTGGTATAGTCTAGTTGAGGTGCTAGGGCATAGGTTGGACTCAATGATCTTAGAGGTCTCTTCCAACCTCATTATTCTGTGATTCTGTGATACTATTATTTGGATTTATTAGCTGCTCCTTAAAAGTTGCCAGCAGCCCTAAGTCAAATACAACTACTTAGGCCTGTGAGTTGTGTGGTCACAGTGGTGCTGGGTGTCTGGGCACAGTAATGCACACGTGAGGCTCTGCTGAAGGATTTTTTCTCCCCTGTGAGTACTCTCTGGTACAGGTGAACAATTAAAGTTCAAGAGTGATTTGGATGAATGCTTAATCTAAGTTCCCTAGAGAGTGACCTGATAGGGGGTGGTTTTTTATGTGGCTTCTGAAAGTTCTCTCAAGCATCACATTTTGGGAATCAGATCCACGTATGTTTGCTTTTATGTCCTGCTGAGTGAGAGTTTGATCTCTTTTTGTAACCTGTTTGTAGCATGCTGGGCACCTACTCGGACGAGTTTGGGAAGCTGGACTTCGAGCGCTCCCAGCACGGCTCTGGGATGAGCAATCGCTCGCAGGCCAAGAGATTTGTGTCTGCCCTGAGCAGCGTGGCAGAGAGGACCTACAACAACCTGTTTGACCTGCAGCAGCTGCGCCACATTGCCAGCCAGCTGCAGCTACGGGTGAGCTCCCCCTCCAGCAGCCACACACTGCCAGGCCACCCTCAGCTAGTGCTGCCAAAGGGAGAGGGGCAAAGGAACCTCTGTGTGCCTCTTTGCAGCAGCAGAAATAACCAATGTGCTGCTGTTAGGCTGAGCAGGGCTCCTGAAAGGTCTCTGTGAGCCTCACAGACCCCACAGCTATTGGAAACAGCAGCTCCTTGCACTGGTAAGGGCTGATCCCACTGATGAGGCTGGTTCTGAGCAAGATCCTGGTTTGGTCTGTGAAAGACAATGGTGCTTTCAGTGCTGCACTCCTTCTGCCTCCCCAGAGGACACACCTATTTTTGTTCCCAAGTTTGGACTTGTGGTGTCCGTGCTCCATTTCAGCAGTGCAGTGATGTTTCTGCATCATCTCCTCTGGATTAAATATGCCTTTAGGTTTTCATTCTTGCTTCAGGCATCCTGAAGTTGCATGTTGGAAGGAACATCATCTAGGACACGTGGCCACAAATGTATTCTGCCCTGTAATTGATTTGCAGTCTATACTTGTGGGGGCTTCAGCAAACAGAACTGTTGATAGCTAACTGTATTTTTGCTCCACTTATTGAAGTTATTTTAATTAACTCTAATTCTCCCTTCATACATAGAATGTTTTTGCCCACCCAGGGACGCCATTTCTCGCTGTTTGTTTGTGGTATCCCCAGGGAGTCCCCGGGGCCCCCTAAGCTGTGTGTTGGCTGGCAGCAGCAGGCAGGCAAGGAGACTCCACATGGCTTCTGAGGGTGCTAATTAGATGAGGGTTTATTGGGGGTCCCACCCCCGGGAACAGCACGGTTTCTGAGGGAGAAGGGGGGAATGGGGAGGGAGGGGGAGAGAGGGAGAGCCTAGGGAGAAAAGGGGCCAAGAGCTTCTCATCTCCCTTGCACAGCTTAACAGGGAGATTCAAAGTAGGTGCAGAATAAGACTTGGGCCAATGGGATTACACATACATGATACTTCAGGGGAGGATCACAGGCTTGGAATAAACTGTACATTTTTGAGGGGTGAGACAGAGCATACCATTTAAATAAAATGTAACACCACACATCACCTCCTCTGGATTAAATATGCCTTTCAGGTTTTCATTCCTGCTTCAGACATCCTGAAGTTGAATGTTGAAAGGAACATCATCTAGGACATGTGGCCACAAATGTATTCTGCACTGTAATTGATTTGCATTCTGTACTTGTGGGGGCTTCAGCCAAACAGAACTATTGATAGCTAACTGTACTTTTTACTCCATTGACTACTTACTGAAGTTAATTTAACTTCAAGAAGTACTTATAAGTGCTCTTATTTAATTAACTTCAATAAGACTACTTATTGAAGTTAATTTAATTAACTCTAATTCTCCCTTCATATATAGCATATTTTTGCCCATTTGAAGTTCTGTACCTGGAAATCAGGGTGAGTTGTAGAAATTGTGCATTTCTGTGGTAGATACTTCTGTTTCAGAACTGGAATTTACACATATGTAGCTGCACCCTTTCTTCATGTCATAAAGGAGAGACTGCTGCTTCTGTGTAACACTGCAGTAAAACCAGTGCGTAACTAAAGCAGAAAACTGGGGACTGATGGTGTGAGACCTCCTGGTAGGTGAAGAGTTTGCCAAGGAAACTGACCTATTCTTAGCCCACTTCATTTCACTGAGTTCCTTCAAATGGTTTATGTTGCTTTACACCAGGTAAGATGTCATTCTCCGATTTGGTATTTTTGTCTTTATTTTCCCAGGTATCTGATTTTGAAAGCTTTATTGGATCCCTAAATGATCAGGGTTATCTTTTGAAGAAAGGTTCAAGAGTTTATCAGCTCCAGACCATGTGAGAGGAGTCACTGTGATGGACTTCCTTGGGATGATTGTCCCCCTGGACTGCTGACCTGCAGCAGGGAGGAACATCCTGAGCTGAGCTACACCTGCCACAGTGCTGGGGTTTGCTGGGCTGGAGATTCCCCTGCAGAAAATTAAACTGGAAAGCTGCAACAGGACAAACTGGCACATGGTATTGCTACCTGGCTCATCCTACAGCTCTCTGTTCCAAATGGGACCTCATCATCCCCCAGGAGTGGAAGCTGTGTTTTTATACTGTTACAGTGCCATAAGGGACTTGACTTCTGAAAGAGATGCTGGACCCACAAATTTCAGCCCAGGAATCTTTCATGAGAGGATGGTATGAGCTGTACTTTCAGCACTGTAGTTCATTTAAAGTCTAGAAATGTTTCCAGTAGGTTCTGACAACACTGTTTGATAGCTGTTACCAAATGACACTTTACTGAAACTGACTTGATTTTCTGCTTTGAAACACAGTCTTTGAAGCCAAGGTTTTATTTGAAATCCAAGTCTGATTTAAAAAAATATCCTTATTACAATATTTAATTTGTAAAGCAGGGATTGGATTTTGACTTCCATTAAACTATATGTGAGAAATATTATTTGTTCAAGGCTGTTTAATGGCCATTACAAGATCTGTAACACCAACAGGTTCTGTTTGTTTCTGTGTAACTGTTCCTGACAGACCCATGTGTGTTCAGCAGGGGTGAAGTGCTGAATGCTGCTTCCTGACTTTGATGAAATCAGAACCATGGTCTGGTGCAATGAAACAGCAGCTGGGAAGCTTTCAGTGTGAGAATTAAAAACCCACAAACACCAACACACACTCCCTAAAGAAAAATATACTTTAAAAAATCAGGACTGCAGCGCTGATTCTTGTTTTCCCTCTTTCATTTCTCAGGTAAGATAAGCTAGATGACAAAAAGCAGAAATACTGAAACTTAGTGCCTCACCTCTTAACTTAAGGGACATCAGGGACCAAATATACTTGAAACTGAAGACTGGTCAGCCAGATGAAATGCTTTAAGTACAAAATCATAGTTCTACATCGGAGCTCTGAAGGGGAAAGGTCTGCTCTATCAGCTAAAGGGCAGTAGGTGTTGGAGACTGCTTTTGGCTTAGTGCAGGGTTGGGGACAGGAGCGTGCCCCAGGAGCCAACAAACGACTGCACCCAGAAAAGCGAACTCATTCCCGTTCCTCCTTGAGACACAGCAAACGTGGGCAAGCGAGAGCCAGAAGCAGGGGCCGAGCACCAGAGACCGCTCGCGCTCTCTGAGCAGTTCCTTAAGGCAAAGCGAACCTTCCCCTTCCTCCCTCAAGGGCTTTCCGAGAACGGCGCGGCCCCGTCGTGAGGAGGAGCGGGATGAGCCCAGGCAGCCGCCCACCGGCCCGCCATGGGCATCGCCGTCCGCGCCAGGGGGCCGCCGAGGAAGAGTCTGGGCCGGGAGGCAGGCGGGAATGCACCGGGAATACGGCAGGAAGGCACTGCGGCAACGCTTTGCCGGGACCGGCCTTTCCACTCGGCTGCCTGCCGTAAAGCGCGCGGCCCGGCGGAGGGGCGGGGCTGACGCAAAACGCCGCAAAAGGTCGCGCGTCCCCGGCAGCGCTCGCGGCACACGCGCCGCGCGCGGCTGGCGCGCCGTGCTCAGTCCCGCGGGGCGGATGGCGCGAGGCCGCGCGCTCCCGCGGGTAGCGCCTCTGCCGTAGCGCTTCTCCCGCGCCGCTCCTGCTGCGCCATGCTGGCCGCCGCCTGGCTGGGCAGGGGCTCCTGGGGGCTCCTCCGCGCCGCGGCGCGGAGGCGGCCGAGCGGCGGAGCGAGGCCTCTGGGCGGCCGGCCCGGCTCGGCGGCGGCGGGAAGCGAGGGGCGGCGCGGCGGGGGCGTCTCGTGCGTGCCCGCCTGCGCGGGGCTCCCGCGGCTGCTGCGCGCGCCCGCCGGCGCCTGGCGCCTCCTGAGCGGCGGGGCCGCCCCGCCCGAGCCCCGGCGGGAGCGCGGCGCGGCGGGACCCTACGCCGAGCTGGTACGTGAGGGGCGGCGGGGACGGGCGGGCTAAGCCGTGTCACACCCGGCTTGCGCTCCGAGGCACAGACTCTGCCTGCCCTGGGGGCTCTCGCGGCGAGGCGCTTTCCTGGCCAAGGAGAAGTTAATGTTTAGCAGGTCGAGGCCGTGCGCCTTGCGAAAGCAGAGGGCTGCTTCCAAGAACTTTGTAGGCTTTCTGGCTAGTTAAGTGGAAAAAGTATTTGTAGCGATTAAAAACTCTTCTACGTGCCAAGGCAGGGTTTGAGTTCCTGCCCTGAAGTTTTTCGTTTCTTGCTTTACAGTATGAAAACCCCTGGACCATCCCAAATATCCTGTCCATGGCGAGAATGGGTCTGGCGCCAGTTTTGGGCTATTTGATTGTTGAAGAGAATTTCAACGTTGCCCTCGGTGTGTTTGTCCTGGCTGGCGTGACAGACCTGGTATGTCGGTTTGGAAAGGCTTTGGGAACACTGGGCTCACGGGGATCCTGTGGGCGTGCATTGGAACAGACTCCGGTGTAGAATGGAAACGGACAAAACAGATTTGTTTTCAGATTTGTTGGTTTCTAGGAATGCTGTATATATCCTTTGTGGTGCTGCAAAGGGAATTTGCAGGTGCCTGAAGGGGACTTTATGCTAATGGAGGAAAGGGGAATGTCAGGGCTCCCTGACCAACCCCTGTGGGCATTGGCCACTCCGTGCTTGTGCGCCTGCTGGTCTGTTAAAAGATACAAGTATCAGCTAAGAGGTGTCACATTTTATCCTAGTTAAACTCACTGTTTTACCTCATGTCATTCATTAAATATGTCTCTAAAGTAGCGTACAGGAGCTGTTTTGGTTCATCTCTTCTAACAGAGAGAAATTCAATTTTGTTTTTCCTAGTTGGACGGATTTATTGCACGGAACTGGGCTAATCAGAAATCAGCACTGGGAAGTGCTCTCGATCCCCTGGCGGATAAAATCCTCATCAGTGTGCTCTATGTGAGCCTAACTTGTGCAAATCTTATCCCAGGTGAGGAAATGTCAGTTGTGTGCTCTAGATAAGGTAAAGAAGGTCAATTTATGTGTAGCAACATTTCATGTGTTCCTAGAAGGAAAACTGTGTATCTCTTGGAACTCTTGCTTTGTCCTTTGCTCCCTTTAAACACTTCCAAACGGACCCCACAGAAAGCAAGTGCTGCCACATACAAAGTGGCATGTACTGCCATTTTTAGGTGCTCTTTCTTTAAAGCAATAATAGTGTCTCTATAACGTTTATTTTCATGGACTGGATTGTTTTAAGTCTTCAGTTTAAACCCTTTCAAGGGTTGTGTTAAACATCCTCAGTAATGCACAGAACTCGTTCAAGAGAATTTGGGTGTGGTTATTTCCGTCTTGCTTCCAATTTCCTGCTCTTTTGGTTGTGTTTTACCTTTAATCATGGACAGTTTTTCACTGGCTGGTGTTGCCTTACCTTGCAGTTCCCCTGACTTCCATGATCATCCTGCGGGATGCGGCGCTCATTGCCGCCGTCTTTTACGTGCGATACAAAACTCTTTCTCCACCGGTGAGTGCACAGCATTAAAAATGTCCAATCATAACGAAAAATACATACATTAATAAGCTTAATTAATAGCAACATTGTGACCAAGAGATTTGTCATCTTGAGGCTTAATGGTTACAAGATGTAATGCTAGTTCTTTTGCCAAACAGATTTCTGAGCAGAGCAGTGTTTTAATAAAATATGGTTTGTAAAGATAAATCAGAGCTACTGATAACTTTTTTCCTGTGTGTGATGTGTAATAATAAATCCTACAAAAGAGCAGTGTAATTCTTTAGTGCTGCAGTTGCCTTTTTCTTTATCATTTATCTTATCAGGTATTTCAGATTGAATGTACAAGGGCTGCATTTTTTTTCCCTCTTTTCTCCCCCAACAGAGAACACTGAGTAGGTATTTTAACCCCTGTTATGCTACTGCACAATTAAAACCAACATTCATCAGCAAGGTAAGAGCAATAACTTGTTACAAAAGATAACTCCTGGGTACTTGGAGCATTGTGTGGTTTGCAGGGTGAGGATAATTTACCACTGCTGCTGAGTACAGTTTCAAAATAGTGCCAACTATACTTAGATCCTGAAAGGTTTTCAACTGTACTCTGTCAGAGCATGTGCTAATTTGGAGAGAGTAAGATACTTTATTTTAAGAAGGTTTCTAAATAATTTTTTTTAATGTAAACTAATTCTTAAAGCAGTAATACAAGTGTATGTTGGTATTCCTTGTACTCCTTCATGTTGCTCACAGTTCCTGTTTTGCTTTTCTCAGATGAACACAGCAGTTCAGCTGATTTTGGTGGCAGCTTCTTTAGCAGCACCTGTTTTCAATTATGTGGACAGCATATATCTGCAGACATTATGGTAACTGATATCTTACTTTTTTTTCCCAGATAATTTAATGTGCTCCTAAGGAAACTGGTAATCAAGATTAATTTGTGTGGAACAAAAAAATCTTCTGTGCCCAGAAGATGCAATAAGCCCATATGCCTGAATTTTTACACCTTTAGTCTTAAATGACACCAGAGATAGATATTTATTGGTACTTAATGAAACTAGCTAGGATCAGGAATAATAGCTTAGAAACAAGTCTTTGGGGTAGGCATGGTGCACACAGGCAAAACATAAATTCAGATCAGTGGAGAAAAAAGGAGCAGAATGAAAGGCTGCATGGATTCCTCATTTATTCATGCCAGAAGTATCCTTGAGCAAGCAACCTTGGGATCAGCAATAATAGCCATTCTTATTTTTGCTTTATACTGTACCTGCTATCTTGAAATCCAGGTTTCTGCAGCCTCTTTGTAAAGCACATGGAGAAATGGTGATTCCTGCTAGACTTTAGCAAGGAAGGAGAGAGATGGGATGAGAACAGGTATCAAGGAGCTTCCCTCCTTAAGAAATGCTGTTCCTTCTCCTCTCACTGGAGCTCTGAACTGCAACTGTTTGAGTGCAGTTATTTTTCCTGAGCTGTTTGGCAAAAGTTCAGAACAAAGAGTTCTGAACAGCAGATGTCAGAATTACTTGGTAACTTAGTTTAAAGTAGTGCAAAATCAAGTGCTACTTGACTTCTAGGGAAATAAAAAAAAAAACCAACCAAACCAAAGAAACCAAAACCACCAACCCAAACAGAGAAGTGTTTAAAGAACTATGAATGAACTTGATCTTAACAGTCTGTGGTTTTCTATCCTGGTGGTAAGACAAAATCTAGAGTTGCCGCTGGGTGTAATTTGCCCGGGTGTTCTGTGAATGCTCTCAGAAACTCCCTGGCAGTGCTCAGGGAGGGCAGCAGAGGGGTAGGCAGGGCTGTAGCAGTGACCTCAGGGTGGTGTCAGCCTTTCACAGAGGAGCACTGCTCATTTAGGGATATCTGTGGTCTGGGAGGGAAACGAAAGAGCCTGAAGCAGGAACTTGTTGTTTAGCTTTGGGATTTGGTGAAAATGGTAAGTTTGAGTCTTGAGTGGTTTGAATGCTTCCTGCTCACACTGCCAAGGAATAGTTTCTCACATCTGTCAGTTCTCAAGCTGGTAAAAGTTAATGTAGGCTGCAAATGCTGAATCTTTTATTTTCCCTTCTCTAAAGCAAGTGCTGGTGTGGTGATAATTTGTTCTGGTATGCAGTTACACTGAAGCATGCTGCTTACCCCTGGATGGCAGAGCCTTTGTTTATCTAATCCTCCCCATAGCACTGAATTTCAGCTTATAAACTGTAAGCTGCATTTGTGTGGAGCATAGTTCCTGACTCTGTAGTTATAAACAGATGCTAAAAAAAGGCATTTTTTCTATTGTCCATGACTTAAAGGACCTCTTTTCCCCAAAGGTGCATCACAGCTTTCACAACAGTGACATCTGCCTACAGCTATTACCACTATGGCAGGAAAACTGTCCAGGTGATCAAGAACAAGTGAAGTGGTCCAGGTGATCAAAGGTGAAGTGTTCCTGGAAAGTCAGGAAGGTGCTGTGCCCCCAGAGGTGGTGGTATTGCAGCTGAGTTTTGGATCAAAGCACTCTTTGTTTTTCTGCTTAAACCATGGCATCACAATGAAGTGAAATTTGAACACGTACTGTGTATATATGTAGAGACAGACTTTTTGATGTATTTTTAATTTCTTGAAAAATGAGGTTGTTTACAAAAACAAATAAATAATTAGTAAAAACACAGGTTACTTGCTGCTGCCATGTGCATTTTGAGTAATTTTATGCTGGTTTTGAAGTCAAGACGTACACTTGGCACCAGATTTGTTTTGCCATATTCATGCAAGGCACTGAGTACACTGGGATCTGAGAAGAAAAAGCAATTACCAGAACAAGTTTGTACCTCAGCCTGTCAGTAAACCAGCATTGCTCATTAGGACCTAATGACTCGCCTCAGGCTGCAGCAGAAGGAAGCCTGTCATCGAGGGACAGTGTCTTCAGAAACTTAAAGCAGAGAGAAATTTTGCTTTATATTCCACAGGTGATGCTGATAAGGCATGAAGAGTTCCTACCCTGCTCCCTTTTCTTTTTAAAGATGAACAATGATGAACTGTACTCAGGGTTTTTGAGTAAGGTCAGCGGTGCTGTGAGGAGTCTGTACCCAAATGGAGTTGTTTCTCATCCTATGTATTCATTTCTAGTGATTGAAAGAAGTTCCTGTATCTCCAGATGCTTTAAATCTCCTAAAGATGTTGTTTAATCCCAATACCACTGGCTGAAGAGAACGTTTAAAATACTGTCCAAATGAATGGAGACAGTGGAAGAAATTTTAGATGTGTTTGCTGTTATTTCTTCCTGTACTTCCAGCTTCAAGATGTCCTCTGTGCTCCCCCTCATGCAAGGACAACTTGTTCTTTGCCTGTTCTCTACCGAAGAAAGAGCAAGGCAGAACAGGTCAAGTTGATCATAAACTCATATTTTCTCTTTGTGAACAACATGATTTTTCTTTTATGTCATAAAAAAGTACAACTATGAAGGGTTTCAATGTCTGAAATCAGGAGGTAAATAATACCACTGTATTATTGTTGTATTAGCAAAGAAAATTTTCTGTAGGAGAGCACACCGTCTCTTTTGTGACAGTGTGTTTGTATAGATGAAGTATTTTAATGCTTTCTTTATATTGAAACTTATATAAAATGGTGCACAGAGAAAACACTTGGTCTTTATTAGTTCCTTTGTTTTTACTGGCCCCGTCTTTAATGGTCAGCCCTGCATCTTTCAGCAAAGGATAGAGGGTGGACGTTTCCTTAAACTACATGAGTAGTGGAGTATTTTCCGTGACTAAACCAGTTCAAAAAGCTGGGATTTATTGTACCCACTCAGCTGGCTGCTGTCAGGTTCTGGTTAATGGAACTGGAGCTGGCTCGGGGAGCGTTTCTGGCCCCGCGCGGCCGCCGTACCGGGGACGCGCCCTGCCCGCGATGGCGGCGCCCGAGCCGCCGCCGCCCGAGGGCTGCAGGCCGCTGAGCGCGCTGCTGAGCGGCATCGCCCAGGCCGCCTTCCACGGCACCGCCGGCATCACCGAGGAGCTGCTGCGCGCCCAGCTCTACCCCGAGGCAACGCCGGAGGAGTTCCGCGCCCTGCGCGCCAAGATGGGCGGCCTGCTGCAGGTAGCGGCGGCGGGGGGAAGGGGCCGCGGTCTGGGGAAAGCCGCACTCCCGCCAGTGTCCGGCATCTCCTCCTACGGGGGGCTCCGGGTATAGGGCCCAGAGCACTGCCCTGCCCTGTGCCCTGCCTTGCCCGCGGTGACAGCTCCGGCTCCATCCCCGAGCGGGCACAGCCCGGGGCGGGGAGCGGCCTGGAGCTGTGTCAGGGGAGGGTTGGTTGGATATTAGCAAAAGGTTCTGCACCCGGAGGGGGCTGGGGGCTGAACGGGCTCCCCGGGCAGCCTGGCGGAGCTCAGGGAGCGTTTGGACACTGCTGTCCAGCGCAGGGTGTGGCTGCTGCGGATGGGGCTGTGCAGGGCCGGGAGTGGGGCTCCAGGGTACGGTGGGTCCCATAGAAGTCCTCTCCTTCCGCCGTCCTGTGCCTCGGGCTCTGTGGCCGCCCCTCAGGAGCCGCAGCTCCTCAGGCCCGCGCTGTGCAGGGAGGGGCGGCTCTCTGGGGTCTGTGCTCCTGGGAGCACGAACCTGTTCCTCTCTGAGAAGAACTGCAGCTTTCTTGTGAGGAAAAGAAAAGCACCGCAAATCATGAGGCAAGCCAGTGTATTAAGTCTACAGATTTTGCTTTTTGTGCAAGGGAAAAGGTCTTTTTCCCCATAATGGAGCCTTTTGGTCTCCGTTCAAAGCGTTGTGTAGTTCCCAAGAGCGGCATGGGCTCAGGGAGCCTCCAGGTGCTCAATCCTTGGATGTCCACTGCCACCTTGTGGGTAAATGCACGCTTGGATTGGCCATATTTATAAACGTCGTCGGTAGTTGTAAATAGAATTGAGAGATTTGGAATTTTATTGAGGATGATGTCACTCGCTTTCTGCCCTTATGAAGGTTCTGTCGCTTGTTTAATGATCAGATTGATGTGGTGCCTCGAGAAGCCTGCAGTGGAATCCTAAAAACTGATTCCTTCGGGGCTCTGTGGCTTTTTTCTAGTGGGTCACTTAAAGGAAGTGAGAGCTAAGTTCTATGGATCCTTATAGGATCTGTGCTCTAGAGCATCCTAAAAGAGCCCCTTGTCCTTCTGGTCGCTCTGAGGGCCCTCTTTCCTTCACACCTCCAGTTTTAGCGGGGAAGGTCGATATTGGGACTGTGCTTTGGAAGTAGAGAAGCTTAAACTTATCTTCCTCTTTTAGTATCTCCCTGACTTGAAACCTGGAGGGTTTTTGTGTAGCACTGTGCTTGCTGACAGCAGCAAACTTCAGAAGTGATCCTCTGTGCTTACAACATCTTGGTCTTTGGATGCACCTCTTGGGCGCTGGTGTCTCCTCAGCACCTTACTGAAGAAGCAAAACTTACTTACTGCAAGATCTGCCTTTTCCCTTCCTTGTCAAGTGCCATGTGAATTTCTGAGCTTATTTATTCCAGTTTTGATACTTGATTGTGAAAAATATCTATGATTATAATTACAAAAACTGAGGGGAAAATATGTCTTTGTTACCTTTTTGTGGTTTTATTTTGTCCTTCTTCCTCTGGGTGGTGGAGGAAGTGGAGCAAACAGCAGGATGGCAAAGTCTGGAAGCAGAGAGATTCGTTGCCCCTGTGACTGAATTGGTGTAGTAGTTGGTGTCTTCTAGGCAGTAAACATGGATCTGGACCATAAATCAACCTCTTGCTTTCACTGATCTGAGCTTAAACAAGGTGAAGGACTTCCCAGTACCCTTCTGCAATCCACCTGTGCAAAGCTTGGGGATGAATAAAAAGTCTATCATATTTACTGTAGCAATAAAAAATTTAAATTTCTCTCCCCCTGGATTATACAGAGGGTAGTGCTGGGTTTATGTTTATAAAAGATGTCATTATGATCTGCTTCTTCCACCTGGTTCCTTTGCTGCCCATCCATCTGCTGAATATGCATGAATCATCTGACCTCTTTCTAAAATGCCACATTTATTTTGTAGTGAAATCATGTTTCTATATTAAATTTACTTTTTAAAAAAAATATAATTTCTTGTGTGGAGAATCCTGGAAGCAGGACAAAGCCCTAGGAAGGCTGGCCCTGGAGAACCATATGAGTTCAATGTTCTGTTAATTGTTTTTTGCCCTCTGCCTTCATCCTTCCCAGCCTCCTGTCCCTGAAGGCTGCAAAGCACTGAGAAGCTGGGGGAGAGCAGCTTTTGTGAATTCTCACCCCCGGCTTTTTTTGGGTTTTTCAAAGGTTATTTCATCCTGATTAAAACACTAAATTTGCCTGCTTCTTACATAAGTTTAATTTGCAGTATTTGTCCAGCGGTCATATTTCCTTTCCATGTGGAGTAATGCCGCTGTTTTCCTTTTGGTGGCAGTAACCTCTTGCATTTATTGAACGGCATCCTTTGCTGCTGGGTTTAAAGTATTCTACTTTGGAACAAACTTCACGTAGGCTAAATAATAATAAAAGTTTCAGCATGAGAAGTAGAATTTATGTTTGATTTATAAGTTGTTTTGTTTGTTTTTTTGTTTTTTTGACAAATACTGAGGAAGTTACCATCTGTAATAAATATAATAATATGTGAATGGTATATAGACTATATAAATAATATATTAAAATTATATAATACTATATACATATTATTATATATTATATAATAATATATAGTATATTATATTGTTAAATCTATTTATATTTATAAATAATACTATATAGGTAATATTATATAAATAATAATAAGAGCATGATAACCAGCATATAAATATGTTGTCCCTAAAGATTTTCACCCTCCTGCTAGGGACTGGAGCCCTTTTGAAGTTGCTGTTGTGACCTCAAGAGGGGTTTCCAAAGCATTTTTACCCCTGTTTGACAAGGAAGAGACAACTCCATCTTCATATCAGGGACCTGCCCTCATGGGAGGTCAGAGCAGAAAAACACTTGGAAGGTTCCCTCAGCTGTGGAGGATAAAGGCCTTTGCTTCTTCAGCAAGGATTTCTGCTAACAGAAACATTTCTGCTAACAATTTCTGCTAACTGGTGGAAAATAAATGAGTTCTTGCATTCTTTAATAAGGGAAAAGAATTGCCATTCTTCCCTCTCCTCAGATACCTTGTGATTCCTCAAATGTGTGGGCTGGGTCATGAACTCCAGAGCACTTTGCAGTTGTCCAAACTTCTGGAAGGCTGAGATGGAGAACAGCTTCAGTCTGAGATAAAATAATTGTGGAAGAGCTAATAGGAGAGACTGCTTGCTTTCAGCCACTTAGATTTGCAGTTGTGCCTGCATCTACTAACTAAAAAGAAAATCCTTTTAAAAACCTCATTCTTCTTGACTCAGGGAAAAGGAAAACAAGTACTTGTCCCCCTGTTTTCTACCCAGAAATGTGTCCCATGTAGTGTTACACTTTTCACTCCAGTGAATGACTGGGCTTATAATGGATAATTCTGTTTGTTGTTGGGCTAGGTGAAAATGTATTAATAACTTTGCACAGAATTTTGTGAGGGAGGGAGTGTCTATAGTGTTATAATAGGACATACATGAGAAAATTATTATTATCTGAATTAAAATTTGCCTGGAACAACTAAATAAAAATCATAGTCTTTTTTTTTTAATTTAGCAAAACACCACTATTATGTAGCTCACTAATCTGAGGACAGCTCAGTTGCCAGTTCACCAGTGTCTGGTGTTGCAGCATACATTTTCTTGTAAAAACTCTAATCCCACAGTTATTATTTCTTTTTTCCCCTTTTTCAGGCATTCTCTTAGGAGGGTAGAAAATGTAATGTTTTCTGGAACTAGCACCTACTGAATTGCAGTGATGAAAATGTGCATGGGCACTATCCCAAAGCACTCTCACTGCTTTTAATGTGAGTAATTTTAGCTTTTAGGTTGGCGTACATGTGGTCACTTCACAAGGGAACTGGCACAGCTAGCAGGTCACATAAAGTGGAAGGGGAAAATGCTTAAAAACAATGAAGTGGAGAGGAAGGTTGGGTGCAGAACGTGACAGGGTTGACGAACATTGCCAGGAGTGATAAGATCAGTGCTCCGCTGCCTGCAGCAGCAATTTGTTGCTTAGGTATGTCAGCTAGAAAGAACAGCGTGCCTGCATCATTCGAGATTTTTTTTCATGACTTTCTTGTGAATTCTCAAGTTGTAAAAGTTGGGACTTGTGTTGTTAGAGCCTCTCACATTTGCAGTGTTGTTTTCAGTGGTACTATGATTCCTGAGGAGATGTGTAGGAGGTGGTGTTAACGATGGTAGCTCTGGGATTTGGAGGTGATGCTGTTCTGCACCACGAGCATTGTTTTAAACAACAGGGTGTGAACAAGGAGCCTGTACATTACAAACCTCAGCTAACTACACCTGCAAATCCTCCAGGCAGACAGAAACAAAAGGGCTCCCGCCGTTATTGCATTGTCCATTTAATGAGTGGTATTTTCTATTACTGATTGAGACAGGCTCGTTTCATCTGGGATTGTGAAATGCTGCTATTCTGTGACTGTGCCACCTCAGTGAAAATGGCTCACCTGAAGTTTAATGGTTTACCTGACCTTTTGCAGTGCTTTTTTCCTTTTCTTTTTTTTAAGCTTAGCT